AATGCCATTGATTTAATGTACAGTATAGAAAGAGCCAACATCGTAATAACATTGGATTTATTGAAAGGATATTGGGCAATTCCCATGGAGGAACAAAGTAGAGAGTAAACATCCTTCAAAACTCATCGAGGTCAATATCAGTTTAAAGTGTTACCTTTTGGCCTACGGAACACAGCAGCAACTTTTCAGAGAGTAATGAATAATGCACTGAAAAAATTTCAACAATTTTCAAGAGCCTATACTGTCGAAATCAGTGGAAAATATATAGCTATATTTTCCACTGATTTCGACACTCATCTTCAAGATCTGGATAAAGTTTTCACCAAACTAGAGTCACTTGGATTTACTATCAATTCGAAGAAATGTTCTTTTTCAAAACCTCAAATTAAATATTTAAAACACATTATTAGATCGGGGAAGCATCAACCAGATCCCGAGAAAATAAAGGCAATCAAGAAACTGGAAACGCCGAAAACGAAAAGAGATCTTAAAAGTTTGTTAGGATTATGTAATTATTATCACGATTATATCCCAGGGTATGCAGAGATCGCCTACCCACTCACGAAAGTCATGAAAAATAAACAACTAGAAATACGTGAATGGAAAGAAATTCATGAGTCAGCATTTCAACAACTGAAGGAATGATTAGTGATGTCAACAGAGCTGATCATCCCCACACTGTAGAATCCGTTTGTCATTCATTCTGACGCATCTCAATTTCGGAATAGGTGCATGTTATCACAGCAAAGGGGAGAGAAACAATTTCCCATGTGCTATCTGAGTAAGAAATTATCGAAACCTCAACAAAGCTGGCCGACTATAGAGTGCGAAGCTTATGCTATAGTATGGGCATTGAAGAAATTCGAACCGTGGATATTTGGTTTACCTGTGAAAATTGTGATTGATCAGATCTACTAGCATTTATAGTGAGAAATGCTCCACAATCGTCCAAATTGCAACGATGGGCATAGCATTGCAGAAATATAATCTCGAAATAGAACATTGCCCTGGAAGAAAGCTATCGAATGCTGATGTATTATCCAGACTCCCCATCCGTGAACTTTGAACATTTTTTACTGTTCACCAACATTTTATATAATTAATGATTAGATAGTTTTCTTTGCTTTTCTTAATAATTTTACAGTTTTGTGCAAGTAAGATGTAATTTGAAATAGAAAGAAAAATTTATTGGATAACAGGTATTCGGGATTAAGTGGGAAATTTAGATATTTATTTTCCAAGGAGATGAATCATGGTGCAGCATTATTAATTAAAGATAGAAAAGACTTTCTGGGTAGTAAATTTTTTTTTTATTCCATGTAAATGAAAAGAATAGAATTATATACATATATAAGTAATCTGAATAGAGAAATTTTGATAATGTTTTATTGATAAACCGCGTATGTAAAAGTAAGAAGCTAAATTTTACTATCATTATTGGAATAATACTAGCATGGATATATTTTAAAACATTTTTATAAAGAATATCAACTTGTTTTCTTTGGTTAAAAATTAAGAAATTGTTATAATAATTATAATATTTGGAACCAGTGAGTGAAATTAAGAAAAATGTGTTATCTATGTTTATATAGTAAATTGATGTGTAATTCTAGGTATTGTGTTGCAAATATCTATAGTACTTGAGGTTTGAATATTAGAGTAGAATGTTTAAATGTAAATGTAGATTTATTTTTTTCTTATTCTCATTGATCGCAACAGTTGCTAGTTTTTAGTTTTCAGATTGCCAATTGATTTGTAAACAGCATCAATAACAATCTTACGACGGGCACTTATCGTAGTATCTGGTGACTGTTTGGCGATCAACAAAGCGTGCTTGGCACGTGTGGCCTCTTCTCCCAAGAGGGTTACTGTATTTTAGGAGTTGCATGTTAGCCTCGGAAGACAACGGTTCTCGATTTTTGCTATGCTGTAGGAGCGATGTACGGCTCTGAGTTTAATATCATGCTTTAAATGTTATTATTAATAAATGTTTGTTTCATTTTGTTAAACGGTGCCTTATTCAACCACAAAGCTATCACAACTATTTTTATACAAATTTTGGTATTAACATTAATTTATGAAACACATTAAAATGTAATTTAAATTTATATATATATATATTTTTAATTTTGGAAAGGAGGGGGAAGGGGATGATCATCTGGCAATGGTATGCATCCTTTCCGCTGATTTATTCATTGGAGAAGAAATAAACCAATTAAATTTAAGATGACATTTGGCTTATATTTAATTGGAAGGGGTTAAAATATTTGTATTATGGGAAGTTTTATTAAAATTTATAGACCCATGATTATTTAAAGTTTCAGAAAAAGTGCATGACAAATTAAAAATGTATTAAAAGTATTAGCACAAACTAAACTAGGTGTTAATAGTACTAGAACCTTCAACCTGAAAACCAAATTTTTCAGGATGAAGAAACGAAGTTATCTTATTATTTGGAGAATTTTTGAAAATAAAATTATTTTAATTTTGTACTTTCTATTCCAAAAGTTGAACTTATCATAGTTCACAAGATTTTCTTTATTCAGAAGCATGGAATATTGCAAAAATATTTCTAATCTTGTCACATGGAGAGCCATCTCTAGAAAAGAGCATCTCTGTTTATAAAGAGATTGACAATTCAATAGATTCTTCTTATATTTCTCAGTGTGCCATATGAGATTTCATAGTTTTTTGAACTATTCTCAGCATTGAAATTACAAAAGAAATGAGATAAGCAATTTTTTTTCTCTTAATTAAATCCAGAAATGCAAAGATGAAGGAAAAAATTATTAAGAAATTGATTATGTTTTTTTCCTTTCAAAGCAATATTGAAAATAGAGTAAAAATGCAATAATCTGCATACTTTGAGAGCAAGTGTTGTGTGGGTTACAGGTTATTTCTTTCCCAGTTTTGTTCCCATTCTAATTTTTACATTAATATTGGAATGTTTGCATTGACTATGAAAACATACCCATTTGATTTAGTATGATTAATGGATTGTTTGAAGGAAGACTTTCCACCTTTTCTGATAACCCAGAGTGGCTTATCATCATTTTGATGCCTTTGATACAGTTTTGTTTCATGCTTTTTAGCTATGGTTTTTGTTTGTTGTACTGGATTGGTTAGCTTTATGTGACATTGTATTGTTTATATATTTTTAAGCAGTAGCAATCATGTGAATTACATCTTTTATAGGGAATTAAATATTGTGATCAGACTTCAATGAATTTTGCATAAATGAATTGCTATTTATATTTAAATTTTTGAATAATTTCTTGGTCCATAGGCTGGATCAAAGCTGTTATATCTGGTGAAAAATATATTATAAGGTTCCTCAGTATGAGTTCAGGGGCATGAATTTGATAAGAATTGCTACACATTAAAGTTGTTTTTTCAAAATTATTTTTAACAAACTGATACAGTGATAACTGATACAGTGTGAAAACTATTTTGAATTGCTCTGAGTTATCCATGCATTTGATTTAGCTTCATACATTACTGGCAAATCAAAGTTATCTAAGTTTAAATGTTGTAAGCTTTTTATGTTTCTGTATAATAAAAAATTAAAGCATATGATCCCTAGAAGTATTATCACGAAATAAAATAGTTAACAATGAAAACTTTTTCTTTGAAACCTTTGATGTAGAAATTCTTTATTGGCATCTTTATTGGTGAATTTTAATTCAAATAAAATTTCTTGATTTATGGATGTCATGCTTTATTTCTGTATTACAAAGCCATCTGTCTGAAAAACAAAAAGTTATCTTTTGGCAAATTCATTTCATGGTGAAATGTTTTAGCTTTCTTTATTGGCATAGATCCTCTTATAGGCATACCATCAGATCTGTTTGCACTGGACCATTTATACAGTTCGCTATCCAATTGATTAAGTTTCTTTCTTTGTGTGTATTTTTGCCAAATATTGACATTTTTCAAAGTAGCAGACTTACAGGAGATTTTTTTAGTTTTTCTTTCTGCTTTTGATATAAAATATAGGAGATCCAGTATTATATTCTTCCAATAACACTTCTGTTCTGATAATTTTCTAATCAAATAATAATTTAGATTTTGATGAATAATTAAAATCATACGTTTTTATTTTCTTTTATGAACATATCTATTTAGTTTTAAAATATTTTAAATAGATGGAAATACTAAAAACAATTGATATATAAGCACAAATTGTTTCCCTTTATTTAGTATTGTTGCTTTGAAACAACTTGTGATTTCTATGGCTGTTGTTGGAGATCTGAACCTTCAGATGCCTATTATTTGTTATTGCTCTTATTCAACGTCAAGTTATGTTTAGTAATGAGCACCTGTTGTCTTAGTTTTTTGAAGATGTAGAAGTATATATTGGATTAGTCATACTGATTATATTGGCCATACTGGATAAGTACTGGATTGGTCAGCTGAAAGCCATGACCTTAATTTATTATAGTTTCTTTGAGGTTACTTTGAGCATTGGACTAGAATGATATATGTAACTTCTGTGCCAGAAATTGCATTATGATTGCAATTTCAGAGAAAGTAAGGAGTAATATGCTTCCTTTTTACCAGATGAATCTCATCAAAAGTAGGTCACGAAATGCAATACTGGCTAAGTTGTGAAAACTTTTAATTATTTTGGTATTGGCATCTGGAAACCTTTCTTCTCGGTAGGTTGATTTAATGTGATAAAGCATACAAAGACTGTTTAGAGTGATATTTGTGTAGCTAACTCTGAGAATAGAGAAATGACATGTATTTGCATTCTAGTTGAGAAAAAATATGAGAAGTATCCAGTATAGGACTAAAATTTTAGTATTTTGTGTTACAGGTTTAAGAAAGAACAACAATCAAATTTTTTTCTTATGTGCAAATTCAATAATTCTACCATTCCTTCTGAAGCTATTTAATTTCATACAAATTGCTATAATAGAAAAAATATGTAGTGTTTTTAATGATCAACTTTGCTACTTTTTATAGTTATGTTGGAGTATTTTAATTCTTATTTTTAGATGCTGTTCTTCAAATTGCTATTGATAACAGTAGGCATATACTGTATGCAAGATTTGAAAAAGGTTCCATACAAGTAAGGTTTTATTTATTTTTTTTTCCTTACATTTATAAGTTTTGTTTATGCTTTGTACATACTAGTATGTGTGCATCCAAAAAGTGCATAATGCCACTGCATACATCATGTGAACATTTTTTCTTGAAGTGACTCGAAGGCATATGAGTGCCGAATTACAGTTACAGTGAACATCAATTACAGTTATTCAATTACTATATCTATTATAGTGATACAGGAATTGGACCAGAATGTGACCAAGCTTGGTGACTTTTGGCGATTTTTTGCTAAATGTGGCAACAAAATTTAGTTGCCAAAACTTTTGCCAGCGTGGCGATATTTTGCCAATTTAGCGAGATAGCTATTTACCGACTGTTAAATATATTTGCCCCTGTATTCTTAATTTTCCGGCAAGCCTCGCTACTTTCGATTTTCATGTTATATTACACAAAAGAAATATAATAATTTCACATATAATTATGCTAACATCATCTATCTCTATGCAAAATTCATAACAATATGGTATTTACCTTTATCTGAGCATATAATTCTATCATTTCAAATCTTAATCCAGGCAACAAATAGCGAATTCTTGTTTCCTTTTTCAGTATTTTTTTGCATCATTCAGTTTACCATCGTATTTTCCCCCTCTTTATAATGATTGTGACCATTTTATAAAAAAAGCCATTGTTTTCTGATGCATTTTTCTTCTACTAACAATCATTTTCCAAAAATATTTACTCTTAGCTGCTGAGCATTTTACATGCAGCCATTTCGAAATTTGGAAATACTTTTCATAATGGTAAAATAGCATTAATCAAATATCATTTGGTCCCTTTTTATTGGATGACATTTTCAGTAACATAGAAGTATTTTGCTTGAGGTAAAAAATATGTTCATATGATTTCAAGAACATAATTTATCAACTCCAAAAAGTGATTTAATTTCTTATGATACTATTTGTGAATTATTTTCATATCATGCCAAAAGAATTTTGTAATAGTTCTTTTTAGACAATAAATCAGAATAGTAAAATGAATTTTCTCTTTAAGAAAACGCATTTTGACCTCATATTTCAATGTGTAAAATGCCCAAACTTCACATTCATGGAACTAAATAATTTTCAGTAGAAGTATATAAATGTTAGGTTAATTTAAAATGTAAGTATATATTTTAAAATCTTTCATAAATCTAATTTACATTTCAGAACAATTTATTGAAAATATATATCAGAGTAATTGTACTTGTGAACTGTTAAGGCCTGTCCATTCGAGTACACTCGCAACATAGTTGCCACTATCTTTTTTCCACCGGTGTAAATTCGCGTTACCCAGAAGGCATAAAACTGAGTTCACTCATGTTCAGCTTTTTCACCCACGACGTGAACGAACAGCCAATAGCTGACTGTGTTCTTATCACATGTCATAATCGGGAAAAACATCTTGGCTGTCCTTTTCAATATGGCATCAGAATCACATAGCGGTGAGTTTTTGTTTAAAGAGATCATAACTTTTCACAGCAATAAAATCATCAGCATTGTTTGCAGCATCCTCAGATTTCTTAAACCATATATATTGGTAAAAATTTCAAATTCTCTTTAAAGAGAAAAAACTGTATGTTTGGAAAGCAGTTATCCGACCAGTATATCTATATGCTTCACCTGTATGCAACACTGTAATAGTTACCTAAGTAAATTACAATTTCTATGAAATCAAATTCTCTGCCTTACAAAATTCACCTTAATTATTACAAATGCTTACTAATAGAAGTATTTTACTATGTAATCTGTAATTTATTTTACTATGTAATCTGTAACAAGAAGCTCTATAAGTATCTCGATATCAATATCAAATACATAACAAAATAACACTTCTAAAATAAATCAGTTGACTGTGAAAGCATATTCAATAAAATACAGCTACAAAATTTTGAGTACAGTTACAACCTTGGCTAAACAACACTCATTTATTGAATATTTAATTAAATTACCTTTGCAATGACGTGTACTTATTCCATTATTTTTACTAAGAGGCACTGTCTCAAATAGCTGAGTGGTCAGCATGCTGGATTCCAAAGGCAAAGGTCTTGAGTTTGAACCTCACTCGCTGTATATCAGAGCTTTTCTTAGAATTTTGTTTCATCACTAGCTTTTCTCATTTTCAAATGTGTTTCTTATTTAATTATGAATAATTTTATTGTTATTTTATCTATTATTATTATTGTTTTCGATTCTTATTTTATCTATTATTATAGTTTTCAATTCAGTTTAAAAATGTGCACTGTATGTAAAACCATAAACCCATTATGTAATGATATATCTGCATCTCTTAATTAAATTATCTCTTTATTTTTACCTCATTGCATGTTTTATTCCGTTCATAATTTTACATAAACTGTCCAAAATTTGAACCTCATTCTAAATTCAAAAATAAAAAATGTACACTAATAATAAAATTATTTATGTATTAATTTGGCATCATCAAAGTCATCAATCAACTTCCAACTGATAATAAGTATTCTGTTTTAAGCCTGTGAAGATATTTAGAGTCAATAAGAAACAATAAAAAACACAGTTTTATAGATAAGTAATGAATTTAATCACTAAATGTTTGGAATAAAGAATATCACTAGAATTACCAGAAAATTGTAATATTACTTTAATTTTTCAATCATCCTCTGAATATCTTGTATATTTAATGAAAAGAAAAATATCAAGAATTATAGGCACCTTTCCTAAGAAAACTTTTAATAGAATAAATGCAAATGAAAGCTGTTGTTCACATCTGATATTCACAGGACGTAAATATTTTAGCTGTGTTTTAGTTTAATTACAAGCATATTGATTCAGAAATATTATTAAAAAAATTAATACAAAAATTGATAACCTTTCAATTTATAGAAATGAGCAGTCATGCAAAAGTGCCAGAAATAAAAATGTAATACTTTAACATTTTTACACATTTTACATAAAAGGGCATATTTATTTATTTATTTATATACAGAAAAATTACTTCATTTAATCATTTGCTGTGAATGTAATTTTCTCTATAATCCATTAAATTTAAATGCACATCAAATAAACTTTATTGGATGAAATTTTTCTCCTAATTTATGTGTCTTAATATATAGAAAATAATCAACTTATAAAATGCTTTACTTATTGCACAGATTCCTGTACACGTATTCCCATACCACACATAAATAAGCAAGCCAAGGGAGTAGGACAAAGAATTACTAAAAAATAAGAAGTTGATTTTATTATATGGTAGATGGTGTTTCAAATAATTTAATTCTCATTATATACTTTATTCCAAAACAATTTTACGAATCCAATTTATTCCAAAACAATTTTATCAGTCAGTTTTTATGTGCATAAAAACTGATTTGTGCATATAATACCTGTTTAATCTTCCTATCCTGAGTTGTTAAATTGCTTAATAAACAAAATTTCACAATAAAACAAACCGAGTCTGACATTCTTCTGACTAGACTACGAAACCGCAGATGAAACACTTTGCGCTTGCAACCATCTATGAGTGTCACATAATTTTTATCTTCAACAATTCTATTGGCTAAACACAGAATTCGCTCATGTCTCCATTTGGGTGACTTTTCACCGCCGACGTGCGTTTTGTTGTGTGATTTGTGCTGCTAGTGTAGTCATGTGGATGCATCTTTACAGTAGTTTAAAAAATACAGCAATTTAAAATCAGTATCCAGAGCTAAAAATAAATATGATTAAAAATTTCTGTGTTTCTGCAAACATTCTAAGATATCTGTTTAAGTATTTATTCCATGCTAAAAGAAATTATTTGCAAAATAGGTTATAGTAATTTCTTTAAAAGTTATTCATGAGTTCTTACCAAATTACTTTTTTTTGGGGGGGGAAGAAATTCTTTTTCATAAGTAAACTTTTCGCATGCACAAAACTTGTGGCTAAAAGCTTTTCAGCATTTAACAATTTGATATGAAAACTGGTCAAGGTTGTAATTTATGACCTTCACACCTTGTAACATCGTTCTCTAACGATGTGCATTTCCCCACTACCCATTTAAGCATGACAAGAGATTGGGGGATATTCGAGAAGGAAAATGTGAGGCAGAAAAAATTATTTGTGACAAATTCGGATCCATTGTGAGCTGACAGAATTTTCCGTGTGTACCAAATTAGAAACCCATCTTTCAATACGAGATTTTACGCCCTTAATGCTGAGAGAGTTTATATAAATATGACTTACTGCACAGTACTATGTTTCATGCCATCGATGTACTAAATAAAAACAGAAAACAAATTAAAACTGTTGAAGTTAAAATATTTAATTTTCAAGCCTTAAATGTAAAAAACAGTGTTCTTATATGATGTAATTGATATTTTTCAGTAATTAATTAAAACACATTTTTAAAAATACTATTTTCATCAGTACTTGTTACATAGGTAATGAAAAAAAGTTTTTACTACAGAAATGTACAGTGTAATGAAAACAGCTAATATGCAGATTTTTTGACTATGGATACCAGTAGGACATAGTTAACTCTTCGTTGAAAATCGGCAAGATAGGTCATTTGTAATATTTCATTTGCTAAATAATATGAAGTTGTTTCAAGAGGACAAAAATATGAAATTGGGAGATTTAAAAAAAAAAATAAACTGTCATTAACTTAATTATATAAAAAATTTATTTATTTCAGTTTTTTATTTTTATACTTTTATTAAATAATGTGGTTTGCTGTTGTGTTTTAATAACATTCCTATTCATGTTTTTTTGTTGAAATTAGGGTAACATTACATATTACAGGTATTAATATTATGTTATCAGTTTTGAATTAAGAATGAATTTCATATTCTAATTTACTTTACGATTTTTATTGAGTATTATTCATATTGTTTCTTTCAGGTGTTTGATTTAGGAAAAGATGGTAAACAAATGAGCAAAGTGTGCACATTACATCAGCATGCTATGGTTCAACAGGCATCTGCTAGTGCATGGTAAGTTCATGAAAAACTGTATTTCTCTTGGTTTTCATTCTGTCAAATTTTATGTTCGAGATGAAATGATACTATTTTATTGCATTTAGTTGTTATATCTTGAACTATGCAGTTGAAAAATTTTGTAGTCTTTATATTAAATATTACTTTTTGTATTAAGAAAACATTTGTAAATCTATATTACCATCTAATTTATGTCAAAATATGCTGATTTTACTTGCTTATTTTGTTTTAATCATGTACTTCTTCAAATACTGTATAGGTTCCTTGCAGTGTTTAAAATGCTTGATGATTAAAAAGCTAACAAGTAAAATGATAATTTGATGATAAAAATATGACATTCAATAATCCTGAATTGCCATGTTTCATGTTGCAGTATATCTGTTTTGTTACTTAAGACTAGCTGACAATAAAAGCTAACAATTTAAATTAAACAAAACATACTTTGTTCTTTTTTTTTTTCATACATGTGATATTATTATGTTGTATTTTATATCATCGCACTAAGTACCTTCATTATTGTCTGTGCTTATGTTTGGTTGCTTGATTATCAGAAGTGTATGTAAAATGCTGAAAAGTTAAGAGAATTTTTCCTCTTTTTTTTTTTTTTTTTTTTTTAAGTGTATTTGATTGTAGATGTTTTGCTATTAGACATTCATTATTTTTTTAATCAGCTAAAACCTTAAATATATCAGCAATTGTTCCTAAAATAATCTACTACTTTAAGTTCCTGTGGGAAATGTTTTGTTACATGAAACCTTTGATACATAAATCTAAGAGTTAATAAGTTAATTAATTATATATGTAAAAATTAAAAAGTACACATCTTTTTTTTTATTTTTATAAGGTAAAGCTATATATTGTGAATAATATTAAATATTTTAATGTGCATAAAATAAACGAGATTAATCTCTAGCATTTTTTTTAAACATTAAAATGCAATATCAGAATCATCCTCTGGGGAAAAGGTGTGGGAAAAATAGATGACTGCATTAAAATAAGTAAATGCAACAAGGAGGGAAAGCATTGCAAAGATAAAAAGCAAAGAAAATTGTAGAATATGGACTTGGAATTAAAGGCAGGAATTTTGTTAAAAGTTCGTGATCATTTTATTATATGTTATAAAGAGAAGCTGGTAAACTACACCTTTACCAAAAGTTTCAAACTTGCTTTTGTCATTTATTCGTAGTTGATTTGTAACATGTATTCTTTTAGCACCATCGACAAAAAGAATTTTTATCCTGTTGTTCATATTAGTGCCATTGAAGCTAATGAATCAAAGCATGTTCATCTCATTGCTGTAACTCAGTCTGGTAATTTTTTTCCCCTTCTAAGCATGAATTGTATTTATTATATTTTAAGAAAAAATTAACAAAATTGATTTTTTCTTTCAGGAATGATTTTAGGATTTTTTTCATAATAGGAAGTTATGATGTGTATTTTTAAAAAGCAGTCATGTAGTTTCTTTCTCTCCAGTATTTATAGTTATTTAACCATTTGACTGCTACGTTGCGCAAAAGCGCTGCATTAATTTGTCTCGAAAACTGCGCTGCGAGTTTCAGTGTGTCTTTATTGCTTCGTGGGTGTGAACGTACGTAGTCTGACCTTACGCATACTTTTTAACACAAATGCATTCTAAAATAACTAACTGCGTTGCAGTTTTCGAGACAAAGGAATGCAGCGCTTTTGCGCTGCGTAGCAGTCAAACGGTTAAAATTATATATAATTTGTACTGAATTAGTCACACTTAGTTTGCATGAATTATGCAAACTAAATGTGACCAGAATAGATTTGGATAATTAATTTTCATATTTAAAAAATTGCTGTGTCTAGTTAACAAGTCGTTCATACTTAATGAAATTTATTTCAGTATTATTTTTCAGTGAGTAGGCAGGCATATAGAAACAGTTGGGATTTTGGCAATTCTGGATTTAAGATCCACGTTTTAAGTTTAGTAAGATGGCACATAGACATTACAATATTAGGATTTCACTTTTTTAGATTAGATAGAAAAATGTTAACATTGTTCATAGCAATGCAACTGGTGTGGTCGCAATCAGAATTTAGTGCAGCAAAAATTCTAGAATTTAGAAGAGCACCGAGTGGCAAAAATTAGGAATGACTGAATTATTAGAATTTAGGAAAGGCTCTGGGCAGGTACAGACATGAGCAGAACACCAGAAATTCACCAGTGGAGGTATACAGGTATAGTCTTGCTGCTCTAACTGTGCAGTTCAACCCCAAATTTGAGGGAGAACATCACAGATAACCTGTGCTTGCAAAAATTCTTGTCTGTCCACGATTCAAACCTGAGCCCATCAGTATAGTATTCAGAATCACTAACCACTATGCAGACAGGCTGGGCAAGGAATTTTTTAGAATTTGAAAAGATACCAGGCAGCAGATTTAGGACTAACAGTAGATTGCAACAAGTGGCGAAATGCCTAGCAAACCTATTGCTGGCACTGCCCTCCCAAACCCCTTGAATACGAAAGTGGGATCCTGGCCAGCATCTATAACATGAATCAATGCATTGTTATTGGCTACCATGTGACTCCCTAGCCAGCATGTGTTGAAAAGTGACGTGTAGAAGTTATTTGGGGGGGATGATATTTATGACACACCTGCCACCTTTTGTCATTATATTTTTCCTTCCTACACTTGGTAATAAAGATTTTTTTTTTTTAAATTTATTTTTGGCTACTGGGGAAGAGATCCCATGTACTGTAGTCATAATATTTGATTTTCTTATGTTATTACCAGCATCTAGTGTATCTGTTTTTACCTTTTTTTAACCATAATTATTCATTTACCTTTTGTTAAAAGCACATTTTCCCCCCCTTTTGAGATATAATTAGAAATGACTAGTAAGCCCCCAATTTTCTAGCGAATAGAATAATGTTTGAAATTAAAATGACCAACCGACATACTGTCCAGTGTTCAGCCCTTATATTCAGTCCCCAATAATCTGTCTCAAATAATTTTTTTGATGTGTTAATACTGATGCTAACTCGTCGAGTGCATGGGGAGAATTAAAATTTTTGGATGGCTCTATGGTCTTCGGATTATTTTTGATTAATTTCATTTTTGAAAACATTAACATCGATCAGTTGAGTACGTCCACCCTACACTCATTTTTTTCTCTTCACTTTTAAGTCATATTAACCAAGATGCTGATGTCATTGCTAACGATGGAAGTAACACTGAAGTAGGCAACTCATGCCATAAAGCTCATTCATCCTGATGATGCCCATTAACGGTTCTCATTTCTTTTACTTTAGCCATGCTTTTTTCTTAATTATTTGGTCTTTCTTAACGAAGTTGGGGAGGTAATTGCTGTTTTCAGCAAAGGTACTGCGTAAGCCATTGCCTTGGTCCTTGGTACGAAGTTGTTCATCTGGATGTTTGAGCTTGGTCCTTGTATAATATCTTAAAAATAACATCAAATCATAAAATTAATTTGTAATAATAACATTTATAACATCTTTCTGTGAAATCTTACATTTCACAATTTTAAGTATCTAAAAATAACATCATACTGGTTTTCCAAAATAAAAATTTAAAAAGTTAAGATTCCTTTTTAAATTGCTTTATAAATTGTTCCCATCCACAGTTTCAAAACAAAAAATATTTAAATTTAACATTTTAATATTTCTATATTTTCATAATATTTCATGTAAACTTTGTGAATAAATATGACAGAAGAGCAAAAAAATTAACCAAAAGTTTGGGACCTTTTTTACAACTTCAAGAAGTAACAATTTTTACAGGTAAGATACCGGGAGCAAATTCAGATATCTACATCACCTGGATATTTTTGTCAGTTTACATTCCAAATATAAATAAGTTTAGTGAATATATATAAAAAAGTAGGCAACGCTTAACATTATACTGATTAGCTGATTGCATCCACATTTATTTGTTTTTCTAATATAAGATATGCTGTAAAATATATTTTCCTCTCCAGAACCAAAATAGAAAGCTGATTGAATAAAAGTGAGAAATCTGAATGAAGATAAAAATCTGAGCTCGAGATCAGTGCCAAACAATCAAACTTTTAAGAGGTGTGAGACCACATGATCCGACACTACGGAAATAACAGTTTCCCCAGTAATATCTTCAATTGATTTTACAAAAGTCATAATTTCAAGATTAGTATTAAAGGAGCATAATGGACTGCATTGTGCAACAAAAACAACTCAATTTTAGAATAATCATCAATCAATGATTCTTCAGCTCTTGATATCATCATCAATCATAATGAATCAGAAAACTTAAATTACATCTGTAAAACTGATAGAATGTGACTTATTCATTCTGCAAAATTTACCATCCAGAGCAGGTAAGAAAAATACACTCAAACTTTACTCTAGAGACATCTCTAAAAAACTTGCAAGAACTCTGTCTTTGGGCAAGTGAAGATACCTTTGAAAGTTATCCAGCTAATTAATTGCTGCTTCAATGCAAACATCTGATTTTTAATTTATATTTGTGATATTTTTATTGTGTTATTTATGATTATTATACTTTTCGTATTTAATCTACGTTAGAATCCATTCTTGCAGTTCATGACTATGAACATAAACCAAGCAATACACAACCAAAAATCAAGTATTTAGTCACCATCATGCTGAAAAGCTGAAGTTCAAATATTGATCCAGAATTGACTTCATTCCAATAAAGACTGCTCTTAGGGATAATAATTTACATTATATGATAGTGCATTGAATTCTGAACCAGAATCTAGCTCAAATGTCACCATAAAATGGTAATTTAAATCATCTTTTCCTACTGATTTCATTGAATTGAATCCAAAATTCTCTGATGCAGTGTCAGAGAATCTCCGATCTTCATCCATTCCTGAGTAAACAGATTCAGAAATCCATATTCATCCTTGTATGAGTCTTTTTATATCTCATGAGTGCTAAATGCACAAGAGCATCAGTTTTTACTTCTGTGTATTTCAAATATAGTGTTAGCAATCTATCATTGAATAAAATACACAATTTTCTGTAAAAACAACATAAAAAAAAAACCCAATTATAGGTAAATATTACCAATAAACCTACTTGCTTTCTTTTAGTAGGCAAGCAGTTTTATTTACCTCTGGAGATCTGCCATCTGCTTAACCAAAATGGCAAATAAAGATTCTAATGTCACAAATGACATATAGCCAGTTGTTTATGCAGCCTTAAATATTGAGCAAAATACATGGGTATATTCAGCTATAAGCTTACAGAATAATCAGACAGGGAATTCCTCTAAACATGTGGAACTTCTATCTCAGAATCAGTACAATCAGAATCCAAGCTTTCATGATAATCATAATTGTTTGTAAAAAGTTGGGTGCATGGCTTTTACTCAGTTTAATACCAAGATTGGCTATTGTTTTTATCATAAAATGTTATAGCTGGTGTTCATAAACATACTTCCCAGGTATCTGTCAAAAAACTAAATTTGGCTGCTATTCTGTAACAAGTCTTGGAAACTAGAAAAGCAACACTTGCTTCAAATGGGTTACATGCTTACCATCATATAAACAATGTACTTCTTCATGATGTAGGTACTGACATTTCCTGTATTCTCATGCTTAAAAAAAATATATATATATATATAAGCATATGACATTTAAATATTCAGTTTGATTTTGATTTCAGATAAAAGCTTAGATGGAATTTTATAATTGCAGATGTTTTGATTCGTATGAGCAGTATTATAAGCGCAGATTTTCTCATTCATACTGGTTTTACTGGTAAATTTATGCATTAAAAAATGCCCTACACATTGTCAATTCTTGCTGCTGCTGGGAAATTAGAGCATAATACTCACTTTAAGAATGTTTTTGACCGTCCTAAATACCAGAACAATTTCCTGAACTATCATATTTACTTGAAAATAAGAACCCTGTTTTTATGCTATATTTTTGTTCTAAAGTTTGGTAAGGCCCTATAATTGGGTAGTTTAATAAAGGAAAGTGCAGAATGAGATTGGAAGTGTTTAATTATCATACTACATAGCATAGTTATGTTGTATACATACTTAATAAACCACTCAGGTAATTACCGGATATATATAAACTGCACAGCTTCTAATTATAATAGCCATGTGTAGTTAAGCAATTTAAATTTAGGTCTGCATCAACTGCACTGTCTACTGACAGAAGTGAAAACAAATAGGCATTAGTGGATCATTATTTTTTTAATAATTTTTCAGTCTGTATTATAGCAAAATGTTATTTCAATAAGTAACTTACCTTTCATTCTAACCAGAAACAAATTAATTGCAATCAGAACCATTTCAAATATTAATTTAT